CCCCCCCCCCCCCCCCCCCCCCGCACAGCTCCTGTCCCTGTGCCTGTGCCTGTCCCTGTCCAGGCCTTGCAGGTAACAGCTCACTGGCAGTGGCACAAACTCAGCAGGAAAAGGCAGAGAACACGGGGTTCTGCGGGGAGCCCCCGCACACCTCACCCCACAGCTCCTCTCCACCAGCCTCTGATCTACACCAGGATCTGCTTCCACTACCTTCCCTCAGCTGCCCTCCCTCTGGCTATAAACAGAGCCCCAGCCTCAGGACCATGGAAATGCGGGCGAGATTCTCTGCCTGCATGCCTGCATTAATTTAAAGTTAAATGCCGTCAAACACTTCTGCCTCTCAGGTTGGGCTTGGGTGGCTGCTACCTGGACAAACTTTTGCGAGCCTCCTTCCTAGTTCACCTGCATCTACCCCCCCACCACGTCCCTCCTCACCACTCCCTCCCTCCAGCTCGGAGTGCCCGCGCCCGCCCCCAGCTAAGGTCTGGGCATCCACTGAAGTTTGGCGGTGCCGAGGGGGTTAACAAGACAGCATGCACCAAACCAGCCCCGCAGGCACGTGGTCTAGCAGTCCGAGACGCGGACCAGTACTGGCCACCTAGCCAGGGCTCCCCAGCCCATCTCGCATGGTGGAGTTGGAGTAAAGATAAGCTCTTCACAAACCCTCCACTTTCTAAGGGCCTTGGGCACCGGCAGGTAGGCAGCCACCTCCTCCATCACACCCATCCTCCTCTTCTGTTTTCTTCCAGGTTCTATCCAAACATCCCTTCGGGCAAAGGGGGTGGGGAGCCCCAGACAGATGAGCTCATTGGGTGGAGGAGGGCAAAGGGAGGCGGGAGCTGAACCGTCCTGACCAAGGAGGTGCTCACTGGACAGTCCCAAGCTGGAGAGGGGCGTGTGCCCACTTCTAGGAGCAGACGTTGGCTTCCCTGCCGCAGCCCAGAGATGGGGTGAGTCCTGGGAATCTCTTGATTCTGAGCCACATGGGGGGTGGGGCGTGAAGCCCCAGGGCAGGGTCTCAGCTACCCCAGCCAGCGCCCCAGAGCTGTGTTGACTTCCTGCTTCCCTTGCCATCCTGTCAAGTGAGCGTGGGGGCTCAGAAGGGCTGGGGGCTGGAGGCATTGGGAAGGTTCGACATTCACTGCAGCCATGGGAC